CGTTTGGGCTTATGTTACACTCTTAAAGATATGGTAGAGAGTATGATTTGTCATTTCACCTTACTGGAATCACTTTGGAGAGAGACACTAAATATGACAGCTTATATTCTAAACAGAGTACCAACTAAAGCAGCTACCAAAACACCTTATGAGCTTTGGATTGGGCGACAACTTAGTCTGAAGCATTTCCATGTGTGGGATTATCCAGCTGAGGCAAGACCTTATAAGTCAAATGAAAAGAAATTGGACTCCCGAACAGTAAGTGGTTATATTATTGGTTATGCTGAAAGATCCAGGGGATATAAATATTATGATCCCACATTAAAGACAATTTTTTGAGACGGGAACTGCTACGTTCTTTGAGGATATTGAGTTTGGGGGGAAGAATAAGATTAAGAACTTCATCTTGGAGGAAGAATCGGTAACAATTTCAGAACCGATTCAAATAGTTACTTTTGATAAAGTAAGTTCGGAACCTCCACAAGGCATTGTTGATGAACCCCTCACTCAAGATGATTTGGTTGTTCATGAAGAACAAACTCAAGATCCTCAAGAACCTGTGCATCATGAGCTAATAACTTTGCAGAGATCCACTAGAGAAAGAAGAAGTGCTATTTCGGATGATTACATGGTATTTCTTCAGGAACATGAGGAAAATAATGATATAATGGAAGATGACCCAGTTAACTTCCGTCAAGCTATATAAGGTTCTAAATCTCAAAAGTGGATTGAAGCAATAGGATAAGTATAAGTCCATGCAAGACAATAAGGTTATTGGGAACTTGTCCCATTACCAGAAGGTATGAAACTCATTTGGCTTCAAGATGAATATTGTTGATGATTGTATGTATCACAAGTTTAAAGGGAGACAAGTTTAGTCTCAATCAGTGCCCAAAGGGAATTTGGAAATTGAGGAAATGCAAAAGATTCCCTATGCATCAGTTGTAGGGAGTTTGATCTATGCCCAAGTATGTACGCATCCAGACATAGCATATATAGTTGGGGTTCTAGGCAGATATTTAAGCAATCCAGGAATAGACCATTGAAAAGCAGCAAAAAGGGTCATAAGATATTTAAAGAGAACAAAAGATTATATGCTCACATATAGGAGGTCAGACCAGTTGGAGATCGCTGGGTTTTCTGACTCAGATTTTGTAGAATGTCAAGAATTTGTAACTTGCTATGAGGTATCAAATCATGGAATATGGCTGATAAATTTTGTCACAGGGCTGCAAATTGTGAAAGGCATTGAAAGACCACTTAAGTTATATTGTGACAATAAATCAGCTGTATTGTTAAGGAAAGAGTACAAAGTGGACAGATTTTCATAGAACACTTAAGGACAAACTCCATGATACCAGATCCTCTGACTAAAGGACTTCCGCCCAAGGTCTTTCATGAGCATTTTGCTCACATGGATGTTTTACAGTTTGAGGAATTTGTGGTTTAGTGGGAGTTAGTCACTTTCATATATTTTATGTTCTATGTTTAATTTCATATATGTATACATTGTTTTTTTTGGACATATTTGGTTATCTATAGATATGCGGTTTTTTCGTTCATTCATTACACTTTGTACATTAAGGATATTATATCGATCTCAATAACTTAAAGTTTGGACCAGTTGAAAATAGACGTGTACAGATCACCTTCACGTAATTTTTCATGCTACATATTTCATGATGAATCCATGTCATTTGGTTATGTTAGGATGAGTAATCATTGTTGGTTTTAGTTACGATGATGCAATGAAAAGCTGGTTTGATTCTATATCCTAATATGATTAATGGACATGACTTTTGGAGTATGCTAAAGGAATATAATGGCACTTATGAGCTCATAAAGTCTAACACATTTGTAAGGTTGTAAGGACATATATATTTGTGACCAGTGGGAGATTGTTGGAAAAATTTGGGTCATGTATATATATGATACATAATTTAAATGTGTTAGGGCCATTATTTATTAAGCCAAATAATAAAGTGATCTGACTAAATTAAAGTTTTGGCTAAAAGCATATGTCATGAAAATAAAATTGTGTAGAGACCATAGAGCAATTTCTAATTTGATGAGGGGCCAAATTAGAAATACTAAAACTTAAGTAATTAACCTAATTCTGGTTATCTAAAGGGTCATGGTCCCCTTCTGAGAGCACACACACAGAACGTAAGTATCAGTCCCGTTCCTTTCTTTCTATCCCCATCAAGAGAGAAAATCAAGAGGGAAATACAGGTGCTCTTCAGGTGGAAGACCATAAGATCAATATAGTGCTCTACAAAGACATCATCGTTATGGCTAATTCAGGTACGCTTTCGCATTCAGTTTACAGCATGTTTATCAGTATGGGATTATGTTTATGTTTGATTGTTAGAATCAAAATCAGGATTATTATTATTATTATTGTTATTGTTTTTCCAACAGAATGTACAGTGTTATAATTGTTATAAGTATGTCCATTATGTTGCTGACTGTTGAAGGAAAGAAGAAGAAGCAAATGTTGCACAAAAAAAGACCTCGGAGGATGAAGTGCTATTAATTGTTACCACGACGAAACCAATTGAGACTTTTGGTGAATCTTGTTATTTGGATACTGGTTGTTCGAATCACATGTCACTTAATAAGAGTTTGTTTGTTGATCTAGATGAAAATGTGAAATCGAAGATGAAATTTGCAGATAATTTGATAATGAGTTGTGAAGGGAAAGGAAGAATAATGATAAGAAGAAGAGATGAAAAATTTGCAATAATTTTGGATGTGCTCTATGTTTCAACTATAAATACACAATTTGTTGGGTATCAGTCAACTTCTTCAGAAAGGACATTTGATCGATTGGAGATCGAGGGAGCAAATATTGAAAATCCTCTATAAGAATGTGACACCAATTTTGAATACACGTTTGAGAAAGAACAGAGTTTTTCGAGTCAATATTCTAGTATAAAATAATTTATGTTTTGCAGCAGTGGTCTCTGATGTCAATTTGTTGTGACATGTAAGGTATGGTCATCTTGACTTTGATAGTTTGAGCCAACTTACAGAGAAGGAGATGATGATTGTATTACCTTGAGTCCAAAAGTGTAAAGACATATGTGAATGGTGTATGACAAGAAAGAAACTAGAAATCCTTTTAAGGTGAGCATTGAGACTAGAAGGAAGAATGTGTTAGAAGTTATATACATTGATGTGTGTGGACCCTTCGATGTTTCTTCACTAGGAAAATAGGTATTTTGTGACATTTATCGATAACTATAACAAGAAGACGTGAATGTACTTGCTCAAGAAGAAGTCGAAGGTGTTTAACTGTTTTGTCAATTTTAAATCAATGATTAAAAAATAAAGTGATAAATCTATTAAAGTGTTGAGATCAGACTATGGTGAAGACAACAATGGTGAATTTGCATCCTTTTGCAAGGAGAAAAGTATTATACATGAGATAATACCACACTATAACATAATAGAGTTACGGAAAGAATAAATCAAATGATTTTAAATATGGTCAGAAGCATGATGAAGACTAAAGGCTTGTCACATTCATTTTGAAGAGAAGTGGTATTGACAATTATATACATCTTTCTGTGGATTGAGAGTTTGATGAATTGAGTCATTGGAAGATCAAAGAAGACTATGACATTGAAGATTAACAATAAGTCAGTAATCAATTTAGCAAAAAATTCAATTCATTATGGAAGAAGTAAACATATTGGTTTGAGATTTTGTTTCATTAGAGATGAAGTAAGAAAAAATAAGATGAGGCTTAAACACTGTACTACGAAGGAGTCATTAGCGGATATTACGACGAAGAAGCCTTTGAATAATTGAAGGTTTGAAGAATTGAGAAAAAACTTAAATGTAAAATCAATTGTTAAATTAGAAGGTTGTGTTAGATAATAATTTAATAATTATAGTGTAATAATTAGTTTTAGGTTAGTTAATCTAACTAATTTCAATTTCTATTATAAATACTATGTATCGTGTTTGAAAATATAGTTATATAAAAAATATACAATTTCTGTTAAATACATTTGTTGATACATCTTTCTTTATACTTCACCCTTAAACCCTTTTCGCTAATAAAATTAAGTAAACTTTTCAATTATTTTTGTCATTAAAATAGGTGAAAAAAAGTATAAGTGAAAAAATGTTGTTGATTGAAAATAAAAATATATATAATTATACGAGTATTTGGTTAAAAATAATTGCATATGTCTAACGAGTGGTTACCAAGAGTGGTAGTGTTTTCTCTACTTAACTAGGAAAATGAACAATACTTACTCCACTTTGATCTTCAACAATGTTTATTCAATGACATGCAATGGTAATCATTGTTAAAGTATGAATACTTGTACCATTTGTCTACGAACGTATACAGCGTGGACTTTGAGCACGTACACATTCTGACTCTTGGTTTGAAGTTTTCTTCTAATAGTGACATATTAGGTAAAATGTAGATGCCCCATTTTGAATCCTCGATCGATACGAGAAAATACGAAAGAAAAATCTTCCTGATTGGGAATTATATATATTGACCAAATTGTACGAGTGCATTTCTGGTCAGAAGCTTCTTTTTCGTCTTAGCATTTGTTGAACAATTTCGCCAACTTTGATAAATTTACTAATTTACCAACTGATTTTTTTCGTTTTTCATTTTTAAAACAGAAAAACACTCTGTTCAGTCAATGAATTCAACGCAAGTTAGGCACACTAGTTTTGACATCACTAGCTCTGTTTACACCAGTATCTCTCAAAATGTCTATTACTTTGTGAAGTTATTTATTGCTTTATTATTTTTTAATTTCACATGGATCCTATCATTGCATACTACTTTTTCCACTTTATTGTACAAAATTCTACTAAAGGCAGTGGCAGAATAAGTTGGGTTGCGTATATTATTAACATGGTCTTGTAGGACCCAAATGTGGTTGTTGAGACGGGGACAAGTGAAAGTTGGTGAGCCATTAACATCATTTCTAAATATCTTTATGCATATATATAATCACTTCACTATGCACCGTGGAGGTCACAGGCTCACACCAAAAGCACTTGATACAATCTACAACCTGAGGCATATTAAAGTAACAAGCATGGGTTCAACAGGTGAGACTCAGATCACTCCGACCCATGTGTCTGATGAAGAGGCAAACCTGTTTGCCATGCAACTTGCCAGTGCCTCTGTCCTCCCAATGGTTCTCAAATCAGCTCTTGAGCTTGATCTGCTCGAAATCATTGCCAAAGCTGGCCCTGGAGCTCATCTTTCTCCCTCTCAAATTGTTTCTCAGCTCCCAACACACAACCCTGATGCCCCTGTTATGTTGGACCGCATATTACGCCTTTTGGCTTGCTACAATATCCTCTCTTTCACTCTTCGCACTCTCCCTGATGGCAAGGTTGAGAGGCTCTATGGTCTCGCCCCGGTTGCCAAATACTTGGTGAAGAACGAAGATGGTGTCTCCATTGCTGCTCTCAACCTTATGAACCAGGACAAAGTCCTCATGGAAAGCTGGTATCTATATATTTCACTATTTCCAACTATGTTGTCCTGTTTTAAGCTCCCTCTTCTCTGTTTTTCTACTCCATTAACTCTGTCTTCTAGAATTTCCCAGATATTGTCTTCTCTGTTTTTATGTTTTACTGCTATAAGCCATTTTTTATATTTTAGGAAGATTATTTTGTTACATGAGAAACAGAAGAAAAAAGAAGATAAATTATTTATTTATTTTCTGTAACTATAAAAACTTTCTTTTTAATTTTTGTATATAAGAATACTTTTTAATTTAAATACGTAGCATTTTCAATCTCTTTTGCTATATTTATAAGAACTAAAAGATATTAAAATGATATATGTGCATAACAAAATTCAATTCATAAATATTAAAAATATGAAAAAATTACAAAAATAAATAACAAATTATTATTTTATTTTATTTTTAAAAGAAAGAGGGGAAGGGATTATGGGACATGTTTATTTGAAGTTGCAAAACAGAAACAAATATGAAATGTGGAAGTCAGATATGTATGAGGAAGGATAGTATATAGAACAAGAATGAAACATCCTTAATGGACGGTGCAAGTTAGCTAGATTGTAGGCGCATTTATTCATGTGCCCATACATAAAGTTTATGCAAACCTGAACTTGAGTATTGAGGCTTACCTATTGATTATTATCATCTAGAAAAAGGAATAAGGTTTGTCTTTTCCATCCTCTGACTGCTTAGAGATGGAAAAATTATCATTGAAAAAACACAATAACCGGCTCAATTAGAGAAGGAATATGTTTTTTTTTTTTTTAATATAAAGGATTATGTTTCTATGGTTCGTTAAATTTACACGATTAGTAACTAATAAATTAGGTATTGGCTGATTGTAATTATTATTTTGATTAACAAATTGGGTTATTTTTAAATAATTGAATTGAACTATTTTTTAAACACTTAAATCAGGGGTTGACATGACCGTATTATTGCAGGTACTATTTGAAAGATGCAGTTCTTGAAGGGGGCATTCCATTTAACAAGGCATATGGAATGACAGCCTTTGAATACCACGGAACAGATCCAAGATTTAACAAGGTTTTCAACAAGGGTATGGCTGATCACTCGACCATCACAATGAAGAAAATTCTTGAGACCTACACAGGCTTTGAGGGTCTTAAATCTCTGGTTGATGTTGGGGGTGGAACTGGAGCAATCATAAACATGATAGTCTCAAAGTATCCCACCATTAGGGGTATTAACTTTGATTTAGCCCATGTCATCCAAGATGCCCCATCTTATCCAGGTTTGTATTCTTAAGTAGAGGACATTGTCATAACATCAAGTTTACAGATTTTGTTTATATCAGTTATTACTTTTTAGAGGTCTGCATTGATGTTTTCCTGTAGGAGTGGAGCATGTCGGTGGAGACATGTTTGTGAGTGTTCCAAAAGCTGACGCAATTTTCATGAAGGTGAATGTTAATACTTGAACCTCTTTCAATATCTTAATTCTTACCTACTGTAAAGGTTTTATTTTCTCAGAGTTTCTGATATCTGAAATCATGTTGCACTTGTTTATGCTAATGATTTTGATATAATTTATACCTCCAGTGGATTTGTCACGATTGGAGTGATGAACACTGCTTGAAGTTTTTGAAGAACTGCTACGAGGCACTTCCAGACAATGGGAAGGTGATTGTGGCAGAATGCATTCTTCCAGTGGCTCCAGACTCTAGCTTGGCCACAAAGGGTGTGGTTCACATCGATGTGATAATGTTGGCTCATAATCCAGGTGGGAAAGAGAGAACAGAGAAAGAGTTTGAGGCTCTGGCCAAAGGGGCTGGATTCCAAGGTTTCCGTGTCTTATGTTGTGCTTTCAATACCTACATCATGGAGTTTCTCAAGAAGGTTTAAGTTCTTTGACAAGGGTTCAGATCAATTTAAATTTGGATTTTGACTTTCAGAATATGCTTGTGGTGCTACTTACGAAAGCTTTGGTCAAAAGAAAATGTAAATTTCTCTTAATACATTAGGAAAATAATAATGAACAAATTTAAATGTGTGCGCCTATTATAAAATAACAAGTTTCTTATTATGCATTATATGTACTTTTTCTATATTCTCTTCAGTTTTTTTAATTTTTATATATATATATATATATATATATATATATATATATATATATATATATATATTACGTGGAAAATCCATATATTTATAAGAAAAAAAATGTAAAAAAGAGACATCATATTTTCCAAACGAACTACTACAAGAAGATTTTCATTAATAAAATAAGAACAAATCATATAAAAAATAAGATATTATTTTTAATCTAAATTTGTAAGATATTAAATTATAATTCTTTTTAATTTATAAATTATTTAATTTTTACCTACTTTAAAATTTCAACTCAGACTTAACTTATCTTCAAAACCAAATTTTCTTATATTCTGTACTCATGTTTTCACTTTCTAAAATAGGAATTTTGAGAGATTTAATTCTCTTTTTCAACGCTAATGAGAAAATAGATAAATATCTCAGACAATTTCTCACATGATTTATCTATATATGATTAGGGTACGTGATGCAAATGAAATTAATGTTTTGAACAAAAATGCAGAAGAAATTAAAGGTTTGGATAAAGATTGATTTGTGGACACTTTTGTTTTCTTTTATTATAAATGACCAAGTGAGATTAAGTCAAAAATAGAAAAATTCTTTTTACTAAAATTTGATAAAACATGAGTTGATTAAAATTGTTACCGTTGATAAAATGAGTCGGTCTATTAAAAATATAGTGAGATATATTAATATTTTTAATTGATCTGACACATCTTACTAAGTTCGTTAACCTATTAGGTTAACTCGTTGGATATGATGAGTCAGCATGTAACTTATTTAATTGATAAAAAAATATTTTTACTGGAATACAGTTAACAATAAAGGTAATATTTTGTAATATAGTAAATCATAAGATAATATAAGGTGAAATTTTGTGAAAAAAGATAATTAAAAAAATTTCTGGTCTCACTCATTCATTATGGAAAATACTCCTTTTTCTAGCGAAATTCCTCTCTCCTCTTTATTGTTCATTATCTCCTTCTTATTCACCTAGCTCATCCTAAACATTGATTTTTCTTATCATCATCACTTGAATTGAAGGTGTAAGAATTATGCAAGGGAAGAAAGATTAAATTTTATAAAATAAATAAAAAATAATGTAACTTTCATTTTAGATGTTTGAATTTTTCAATATAAAAAATAGAATTTGTATAAGTTTTGATGTTACCTACATGTATTTGTTATTATTATATAAATTTTATAATTGTTCTAAATTATAATTTCTTAACATAATGTGTCAATTTATATTATCATGTTAAAATATATACATTAAATTATTGACAAACAAATGATAATCTTATTATTAAATTTATTAAAAAATGTTACTTAAAAAAGAAAAATAAATTAATTTTCACAAAAATCATGGCGGACCTAGGTTTACATGTCATCATGACTATAGTAGGCTAACTTGTCCTACTCCATTTTTTACGAGCCAAAATCGGAGTGGGTTAACCTGTCCTAACCCATTTTGCAAGCAAACTTTATGATGTGACAAATACTGTGATGTGGTGACACGGTAAACACTTTGACGCAACTGAAATACAAGACTAAAATATTATGGTGCGGTGACATGACAACCTTAGATATTACTTTCACCTCTTCAAAAACACTCACGTCTCTGACACTATCAAAAGATGTGGTCTAATAGAGTGCATCTCCTTAGATATCAAAGGAGACATTTGCTCTGATGAGGGATAGCGAGGTACCTTGGCTAAGATGGGGTGAAAAGGAGAATGTGAATGGAGAGAATGCAAATGAAGGGAAGGGCACTTGATTGTGAAAGTTGCATATATAGAAGTGTGAGAAAGCAAATGAACCAGAGGTACCTTAGCTAATATGGGAGTGAAAAGGAGAATGTGAATGGAGAGAATTCAAATGGAGGGAAGGGCACTTGATTGTGAAAGTTGCATAGAGGTGTGAGAAGCAAATAAACCAACACTCGCAAAGGCAACAAGATAAAAGGAAAAGGAGTGAGGAATCAAAACATTTTAAACATTACAAATTTTTCCTAATTAATGTGTATTCAGACCAAGAAAAAAGTAATATGACGTGAAGCTAATAAATAAAAGGCAAAATGACGAGAGTATAAACTTGTTCATCTCTAGTAATAATTCGTCTACATATATCAAAGACTCTGAGTTTAAGGGGTTTGTGTACCTAACTAGTCCTAAAGACAGTTAAATACCATAACTGCAGAGATCTTCATAATAAAATAGTATATGAGTATTTTGACAATATTCAACATACTCAAATTTTAACTCACCTGAGGTATGCGAAAACTACCCAAAATATTCGTTAACAAATAAGAATAAAATATCTCATACATCTCGAACATTTATGATAGTCTACTCCTATGTAAACAAGTTTAATATAACATTTACTTCATTCATTCATATTTTACCTTTTATTCTTATTCATATACTTACTTAAACACAAGAAGAGTTTCTTTCCGCATAATAACAATATTTATATAATCAATTATTTTTTACATCAATCAATAAGTTATCAAGTTAATGTTAATATTATTTATAATTTTTAAAATATCTATCTTAATTTAAAATAATTTAAATACAAAATATTAATTTTATTTTGATCTATACTAAGTTATATTATATTTAAAATAAATCTTTAAATATATCTAAAATTATTATTTTTTAGTTTAGATAACTTGAGAGGAAATAAGGGGGAAAAAATGCAAGTGAGAGAAAATTTATTAATAAAAGAGAAATAAAAAAAATGCTAAGCTTAAATGCAATAAGGTATTGGTTATATGTAAATATCATGCATTAGCTGACTTTGTGTTAGTAGGAAATCGATAAAGGGATCGAAAAACGAAGGAAAGAAAAAATCGAGGATCATATGATTGGTTAAAAAACTGATGAAGTGAAAAGATGGTTGGAAAACATTCGATGACCATGTAACAATATGGACACATAAATCGAGAATTAGAATCGAAAAATCGAAGGAGAAATATTTAATGTCTATTGTTGAAGAAAATCAAGGAATTAGAATCATGCAATGTTAAGGTTAAGGGGAATAAAAAAAGCAATGCAAAGTTCTCGAGATTTTGAAATCGAAATCGAGGGAAAAGTTAACATGCACGACCATCAAAATTCTGGCTAAGTTAGAAAGAGAGGAACAGTTAAACGCGCACATAGAACATGGGAAGCGGTTTCTAAACCGTGGCAAAGATCGAAGGTGAAGGGAACGGTTATCTCACGCATGAGAACGTGAAATACAGTTTTTTAAACCGTGGAACTAAGGGACGTGCATGATGGATCATGGTGGCAGCTTTGTTAACTACTCTTAGGAGGTTACTTGAAAGGCACTCTATAAATAGAGCAAAGAATGAAGGAAAGGGGGAAATTGGCAGAGACGACAGAAGCGCAAGTGAACAGTCTACAGGAGAACGACGCATCATGAAGTTTCTAATGCTCTGGATTTCTGTTTTCATTGATTATCTTTACCGCTTTCTCTACTTTCTCTGGTAATTTATGTTTATGTAATTTACTTTGGTGCAGTTTACATTTAGTAACTTTCAGTTTTGTCACTTTCGATTCCTTGTCATTTATTTTTTATGCAAGTTAAGGTTATACGTTTAAAATCCTTGTCATTTACATTTTTGCAATTTCGATTTCCTGTTAGTTATATTTCCGCATTTTCGATTTCTTGCCAGTTACATTCAATGCAAATTTGAGGTTTCCGTATTTTTACATTTCCCTACAATTTAATATTCTGCACTGCTTTTTCGATTCGACGCTTTCTATACTTCGCATTTCTTAAGAAAAACATCAAAAACATGTACTTTAGGTCATGTCGTCCTACATTATAAGATTCTCGATTCTCATGCATTTTTTGATTGAAAACTGTTTGCTAGCCTAAATAAAAAGAATCTATGTGGTTAAAATTTGGTTAGAACCTAAGTCTCGATTTAATCGAAATCGATCAAATTTTCACCAGACACAAATTGGCGCGCCAGGTAGGGGAATATTGTGTATTATACACAAAGTCTGGCTAGTTCGATGAGTGTATGAAACTAAGGAGTGGACGAGTAGTAAGAATGAGTCAAAATCCACCAAATAGTCAGGGTAATAGTGAGATTCCTAATAGTCCGAATCCACCAAACACTGGGGGGCAAATTCACAATGGGAGTATGCCTGTAATATCGACAACTGCGAGTATGTCGATACCTGTGAGTAATGAACAAAACTCAGGCCCATTAGCAAATACTCAGTTAGGGTCTAGTACTGTAATGTCAAACAATATGCAAACTACGGGAAACCCTGTAACAACATATGCAGGGCCATATGTGAGTGTAAGGCTGCCTGGGTTTTCGTTTAATTATATGAATGGGGCCGGTACTTCTCCGATACAACGGAGTACGAGAGTTAACCTAGGAATGCCCCAAAACTCGGGAATGTTTCCAACCTTAGGTATGCCTCAAAATTTTGGAGTATCCCCAAACTTAGGGATGTCTCAAAATTTAGTAACACCCCAGAGTTTAGGGAACGCTCAGAATCTAGGAACACAACAGACACCTCCAAACCTAGATCATAGAGCAAACATGGATCACGGAAGGTATACAATCGATAGAGATTACCATTGATCCAATTTTGAGACTATCGAAAACGCTAGTACTGGAATCTCCAGTAATTCATTAGGAGTACTTCGACAACAAATGGATGAGAGTAACTTTGAGATGGTTAACATGTTATCACAACAGTTGACTACGGTATTAAACCCATTAGTGCAAAACACTACTACTAGTTTTGAGATATTAGCAGACCAAATGA